TAATAGAATAACTTTACTTACTATATCACAACTAAAACTTCTAACTCACTTTAAATAAAAAATATATTACATTCTCTACTACATATCATATCTAAGAACTAACTTATGACCTAAATATAATCCTATTAAGAAGAATAGACAAGAATATAGTGGGAAGAAGTAAAGACGTCAATCAAAGTAAATAAATATATAAAAAATCAAGACATAAGATAGGAAATATTTTAAAGCCTAACATAAAAGAACGAAACAACTATGAAGAAGAGTATCAAAAAGTTTTTTCACAAAGACATGTAGGAAAATTTGACCTACTACGAACACGAAACAAACTTGAGGACGAGGTTTGGTAAGGTATTTTAGTGGGGTGTCTAACAATATGAGTATGAAGAGTCTCAACAAGACTGGAACTCAACAAATTTTACATCTAAAGGAGAGTTTACTATGGGTGGGAGAGACAGATGCTTGTTACAAAAATTACAGGACCCATCATCTAATACAGAACGCGGCAAAATGTAAATTGGTCTAGTCATTTGAAGTTATACACACTGAAGTTTTTATTATGTAATCACACAAGTTCTATAGGTTGTAATAACTATTGAGAATATCGGGAACAAACATTATACGTATTGCCCACATCCAAACCAAAACATGCACAAAGGGGTTTAGAGGTGTGTCATTTAGTCTATACCGTTGTAGTCACACAATATATCTCATATGTTACTCAATATCAGGTCTTAGACCGAAAAGGGTTATAACGCTATCAAAATCGGTCAAAACGAAAATGTACTCACTATACTCCAAAGGTCGACTAAAACACCAGATTTCTGAATGTCCGACTGAAGTTCAAAAAAATTTAGATTGTTGTAAATATCGGCCATGTAATTTGGTAAAACCATGTAACCATGTGAGCCATTCTTTCCTGTCCTCGGACCTCTTCGACGCGGAGGGGGACTGCAGCTCCACTAACTTAGGTGCCCTCGCCACAACAACAACAACTACAATAGTCGTTTCCTGTAGGCCAATAATTAGGAGGTACAGGTGAAGGTTGTGGTTCCGAGGCGGACCTGTGTAGGGAGTCCTGACGTCGTCCCAAGACTAGGAAATTTTGAAATTTGTGACGTCTCTTCTTTTAGGGTCCTTCAGCAGACCGAAGTGACTACGGACTTTAACACGCAGATCGTGGTTGCCTGTGTGGTACAAGTTTCAGAGAGTCTAGCACCTAAAGGGTCTCATTGTAATTCAAGTTGTCATAGAGTTAGCGAGACGAAAGGAATTTACTCAGAAAATCAATAAACAACTAATGTCAGCCCCCATCTCTCGACAACCTGTGAAACAATTAGTTTTAGTTTACGATAACCGTGGATACTTCTTCCGACCATTAAAGGTCTCGAAGGGACTGGGGGGGGTGTGGGTACGTCTCAAAGAAAGTACCGAAAACCAAAATACGGATTAGACACAGAAGAGGACGGTCCAAGGGGAAAGGCGTAGTTCCACGGTAGTAGGTATTCCGAAAAACTACTCGCTGTCGCGCGGATACGTAGCCCCCGGACGGGGGCATATACAAACGCACGGCCTGTAAGATTAAACGACTCTCTGAGGGTTTCTCCTGTTGAACATCATGCTACATACCTAACAACCCCACCACCTCCCGTGCCTACAGGGTGACCCGGCTGATTTCATGGCGAGAAAGAAAAAAAAAGACGATGCACCGGTGTCCACTCATCTGCAGTAATCAAAATCTTCTTTAATAATGGGACACAGGGTTTGAGGTGATTCTCATAGTTTTTCAAAAAAGTGTTTCTGTACATCCTTTTAAACTGGATGATGCTTGTGCTTTGTTTGAACTCCTGCTCCAAACCATTCCATAAAATCACCCCACAGATTGTTATACTCATACTTCTCAGAGTTGTTCTGACCTTGAGTTGTTTAAAATGTAGATTTCCTCTCAAATGATACCCACCCTCTCTGTCTACGAACAATGTTTTTAATGTCCTGGGTAGTAGATTATGTCTTGCGCCGTTTTACATTTAACCAGATCAGTAAACTTCAATATGTGTGACTTCAAAAATAATACATTAGTGTGTTCAAGATATCCAACATTATTGATAACTCTTATAGCCCTTGTTTGTAATATGCATAACGGGTGTAGGTTTGGTTTTGTACGTGTTTCCCCAAATCTCCACACAGTAAATCAGATATGGCAACATCAGTGTGTTATATAGAGTATACAATGAGTTATAGTCCAGAATCTGGCTTTTCCCAATATTGCGATAGTTTTAGCCAGTTTTGCTTTTACATGAGTGATATGAGGTTTCCAGCTGATTTTGTGGTCTAAAGACTTACAGGCTGACTTCAAGTTTTTTTAAATCTAACAACATTTATAGCCGGTACATTAAACCATTTTGGTACATTGGTACACTCGGTAAGAAAGGACAGGAGCCTGGAGAAGCTGCGCCTCCCCCTGACGTCGAGGTGATTGAATCCACGGGAGCGGTGTTGTTGTTGTTGATGTTATCAGCAAAGGACATCCGGTTATTAATCCTCCATGTCCACTTCCAACACCAAGGCTCCGCCTGGACACATCCCTCAGGACTGCAGCAGGGTTCTGATCCTTTAAAACTTTAAACACTGCAGAGAAGAAAATCCCAGGAAGTCGTCTGGCTTCACTGATGCCTGAAATTGTGCGTCTAGCACCAACGGACACACCATGTTCAAAGTCTCTCAGATCGTGGATTTCCCAGAGTAACATTAAGTTCAACAGTATCTCAATCGCTCTGCTTCCTTTAAACTTGAGCTTTTAGTTATTTGTGATTTACAGTCTGGGGTAGAGAGCTGTTGAGACACTTTGTTTTAATCAAATTCAAATGCTATTGGCAGCTAAAAGAAGGCGGTTTTCCAGATGGCGTCCCTGACCCCCCCCCCACCCCATGCAGAGTTTCTTTCATGTGTTTGTGGTTTTATGGCCTAATCTGTGTCTCTTCTCCTGCCAGGTTCCCCTTTCATCAATGCCATCATCCATAAGGGCTTTGATGAGCGACACGCCTACATCGGTGGCATGTTTGGTGCCGGGATCTATTTTGCTGAGAACTCCTCAAAGAGCAACCAGTACGTGTATGGGATTGGTGGAGGCACGGGATGTCCCACCCACAAAGACCGCTCCTGCTACGTGTGCCACAGGTGAGATGACTCATTAGTTTAGAAGAAATATTACCCGTGTCCCAACTCCACAATACAAACAACTCTAATCAGGGTCTGATTATGAAATCCTTAAATGACCAGTTTACTGAAAGATGTGGCTATGCATACTTAGTCCACTCAACTTTTTGATGGACTAGAATAGATTATCCCACAATGCATTGCACAAAGAAACAATTGGAGACCCAACATTAAGCTTTCTTTCCCTGGCTGTTTTCTCCAAAGCTTACATCTTGATAAATGTCTATCTGCTCTTCTATCATTTCCTGGTAGTGCAAAACAGCCCAGCACATCAAATTCTCTTATACTTATGCTAAATCAAAGTACTATGAAAACTATAATGTACTATTATTATGTATAATAGAACATTGGGAAACAAAGAAATCAGGAATTTTATGATTGTATTCAATCAAAAAAAGTATTGTAGAATTTTAACAGACAGTATTTATTATGTGAGCTAACCATTGACAGCCTGATATTGTGTGTTTGCATTTCAGGCAGATGCTGTTCTGCAGAGTGACGCTGGGGAAGTCCTTCCTCCAGTTCAGTGCCATGAAGATGGCCCACGCCCCCCCCGGACACCACTCAGTGATCGGGAGACCCAGCGTCAACGGACTGGCCTACGCAGAGTACGTCATCTACAGAGGGGAGCAGGTCAGTACACACTTCCTTTCAGAAACAAGTAGTGATGCTTCAATTGTAATGTTTAAATAATCTGTGGACTATATAGTGGTGCAGGAAAGAGTGCCTAACCTGGTACTATTTAACTCTTGAAATCTGCAATGTTTTTTTGAATGAGTTCTTGATTAGATGGCTGAAGTAAGGTGCATGATTAATTCAAGCTTACAAGGTTTTACCGTTTTGTTATATATTTTAAAATACAGTAATAATGATACAAGATCTTTAGAAAGCGCTTTTCCTGATGCTCAAAGATTCTTAGTATAGTGACAAAAGATGTCAGTATACACCATCTTGTAAATGTCAGCCTACAGCAATACATATCGACTGCACCACTCATTTCATTGTCATTTGTCTCAAATATATAACAGTTTAACATTGCTATCACATTTCCTGGAATAGTCTTCGAATGGAGCAACAAACAACAAATTCTATTTCCAGGGAAACTGAAAATCCTCAAAATTAATTTATAATAATTATTTTCTTTTCTGTGCAATTGATGTATGTACAAGTTTAGCATTCAAAAATAACAATAATAAAAGTAGTATTAAACTATACTTTTGATAGAAGTCTATCATTATAAACATAATAAAGTTGTACTGAGATGGTGTCTTTGTCCACAGGCTTACCCAGAATACTTGATCACCTACCAGATAGTGAAGCCTGAGAGCCTTGCTGCCCCGGCGGCCCCCCCCGAGCAGAAGTCCTAAAACTCTCAGCTCTGCAACGGACCAGAGCCGCTCTCTGAGGGACTAGAACTGAACTGGAGGGGGTTTCAAACCTCACACACACATTTCAAGTCTCCAGAGTTGACCTTGAGGTGGGAGAGGGCGACAGGGCAGAGGTCAGAAAGCCTTTGGAAACAGACCCGGATGTGTCTTAGAAGAGGATTTCAGGATGTTGGGGTGCTCAGTTCAAAGCAACAGAAAGCAACACATTTTTTTTATTGATTTGGTCGAATTTTGCCAGAGAAAATGCAAATGGTTTGATCAACATTTCTGGAGTTCTTCCAGTGAGCTTCTTTTTTTAAATGCGCAGGCCTGCAGCTGGATTCGCAAAACAATTAAGAAAGCAATTACACCAGGACACGGTCCACAGCAAAACACAACACTGAAATCTACCCGCAGTTTTTAAATGTGTTGTTTTGATATTGTGTCCTCTTTCGACTGTGAACCATCCACAGCAACAAAACACCTGCCTGAGGCACTTTCCGAAAAACAGCCATTGTCGTGCCGAGGGAACAGATCCGGCACATTTGATGTTACATTTGCTCCATTTAGGGTTTGTGAAAACAAGAGGCAGCTCTCTGTGTCTTCTTTTAAACAAAGGAGAAATCACAAAACTAGTGTGAGCAGAGGGACGTAAGAGAGATTACAGCGGACAAATACCCAGCAGTCAATAAGGAACAGACTGCAGACCTTCCACTACAGTCCACACACAGGGACCAAACCTCAAATCCACACACAATAAGATTGTTTTAAATAAATGTTTACTTGGCCATAAAGACATATTTTGGGCAGAGCCAAGTTGTGACAAGCAGCAAGCTGAGGCACCTGTCAATCATGAAAATATGCCCTGGATATTCCTGCTTTCTCTGCCTTAATCTCAATGACTAAAGAAATGGTGTTTTCCATGATATCTTATATTTAGCTGTTAAACATGGCGGTTGCTGCTTGTTTCAGCACAGCTCGTTAAAAACTCAGTCTGTCACCGGAACAAATGGAGCACACTGTGACACTGAGATGATTTGAAACCCAGTGATATCGTCGGGGAATGTCATTTAACTGCGTACAGCAAGCTCTATATTTATCATCCAAACTAGTATTTCATATTTTATGCCACAATGACTGAATAATACAGATACAAATATTCAAAGTCCAGATTTTTTTTTTGTTACAGCTTCTCCCTCGTTGTGAGGATTGACTGTTACCAACACATTAAATAGACATTTTTCAGAGCTTAATTCAGCAAACAACTTGACGTAATACTTTCTGAAGCCCCAGCATGTCATTCATCCTAAACTTGTCAATGGCAGTTTAACATTCACATGAAACGAGTCACGCTCATTTATAGATCTCTTTTTGTTTGCTGTTTTAAATGTTCCTCGCGTGGACCCTTGTGTTTACAAATGTTCTTCTCCATCTGTTACTGCCCCCTAGTGGTGCACCAGAGGAATTGCTGGCTTGTAGTATTACTATGAGGAGACCACTGTATACGCAGATGTGGGATAAGTACTCAGAACTTGTACTTAAGTAAAAGTAGAAGTACCAGAGTGTAGGAATACTCTGTTACAAATAAAACTACTTAATTTAAAAGGTTAATTGAGTAAAAGTACTAGCATCAAAATATACTTGAAGTACCAAAAGTAAAAGTACTCATTATGCAGATTGGCCCATTTCAGAATAATATATATTATATGTTTTGATTATAAATATTGATGCATTACTGTGTTATCAAAGCTGGTAAAGGTGCAGCTAGTTTATAAGTAAAGTACCTCAAACGTGTACTTAAGTACAGTAGTTGAATAAATCTAGTTGGTTACTTACCCACCTCTGAGTATACTGTATATCACAAAGGCATGTTTATAAGGATTCATTTCTAAACAGTGCTATTTGTGTTTTTCTGAAGTCTATTCCATTTTTGTTTTCTTAACTCTTTTTTGTACTTTTACTTGACTATTTCTTCTATCTTGGAAGCCATTCAGCGGGCTGGTTACAGGCTTCAAAAGATAAATATGTGAGCACAGAGCTGCAGGTTGACAAAGGATAATAGATATGTTTTACCTAAAGATTATTTCACATTTTTGTTTGTACTAACATTTTAAAGTGACACTAACATGTATGAAAAAAAACCTCATAATAGCAAGATTAGCAAACTCCTCACATTACGTACTGTACCATTGAACTTTTTTTTAATGACCATGTTTTTTTCTGTTGATTATAATGTTGGATTAATGACACTGTACATCACACGTTTAGTTTCTTACATTTCCATCAAGTCGAGCAGTGCTGAGTCTTTGAAATTCCTTGAAACTGTGGAAAAAGGCTTTTAGAGTTTTTGAGAATGGATAGATTGCCTTTAAATTGCTATGAAATGTACTATGATAGATTTATCCAGATCTAGCCGATATTACGAAATACACTTTTAGACATCATTGAGGGATGGGTTATTCAATCTGACCAGGCTGCTCTGATCTTTTATTTTCATCCTGAATTCGTTAGCATTAGAGTGTCAGTAAAATTCAGATTTCAGCTGATTTGCACTTTAAATTAAAAGGTAAAGATGACGTTGGTCTGAGTTAAGAACATTGAATATAGTGTGAAGTCTAACATCTCCTGGATCTGACCTCAAATGAAACTATAATGGCAAAAGGTTTCAGTGAAAATAAGAGAGATGCAGCACTGGGACAGTTTACAAAGCATTCAGCCCGATGTTAAAAAGCATGCACTTAAACTATATTTGACCACGGTATTAAATGTTGTCTAGCATTTCACAACACAACTTAAAATCTAAAGTTCTGATTATATTTCTAAATTGGTGAATGACAAACAATGCAAGTTTTGCAAGACTGAACATACATATTTTCCTTTTTATGCTTAAACTCGCTGTGTCCCTGATCAGAGCACTAAGACGAGGGTTTCAGGAAGCGTCACTGTTGGAGTTTACGGTGTGACTTCATTACGGTCAGGAGCACTTTGGATTTATTAGCAGAAAGCTGTGGGCTTTGTTTTAAACGAGACTGTACATAAACTAACTCCAGATGGGCCTTTTATAGATGATTTGAAATGTATTGTTCTTTTTCCTTTGAAAGACTTTTTTTATGTAATAACTATTTGATGTGTGTTTGAGCTGGCCTTTGTCTCCTTCGGTCTCAAGGGTCAGTCAGCCTTTTTATGTAAATACTTTGGAGGTGTGTGTGTGTGTGTGTGTGTGTGTGTGTGTGTGTGTGTGTGTGTGTGTGTGTGTGTGTGTGTGTGTGTGTGTGTGTGTGTGAGTGAGTGTTCAATCAATCCATGCCTATTCTTCTGACCTGCCTTCTACCAAACGGTTTAATTAACACATTTCCTCTTCAGTGATGTTTGACTTCCTGTTGTACAGACGGTTGTACAGAGCTGCTGACCAGCTAACATGTGTAACGGATACACTTCTAACTGTTGTACAGAAGAAAATCTTAATAAAAGAACTTAACGTGTATACCTGTGTTAAGTATTTTTTTCATTCTGTACGGTCACTAAACATGATGCACATTTGATTTAATAATACCTATAGATGTGTTAATTTAACTTCCCTAAAGTCAATTGTATTTATATTTAATACATACCTTAATATTTTGTTAAGATATTTGTCAACATCCTAAACTATGACTTATTTGGGACATAATACACAATCTTTTCTGATATGTTTGACAAACTGTTGTTTTTTCTGATATTTTCCACACACTTTATTTTTGTGTAATTTCCGATTATTTTGACATAGTATACTATATTGTTGTACATACTATACAATAACTTATTTCCACATGATAAACAATGACTTTTTTTCATCATATTCCGATATAGTATGTCAAAATAACAATTTGTTGTATAACATGTCTAAAAAAGTCATTGTATAGTATTTTGAAAGTCTCAGAAAAAAAACTAGAAAAAAATGAATATCAGAGACTTTTCTGGGACAGTAGGCTATACTATGTCGTTTTTTCGATACACTGTACCATGTACTTATTGTATGACATTTTATTGGCAACAGGTGAGGGTGTGAAGTGTATTTACTATCTGCAAATGAACAAAGATAACTGGCATTTACACACTATGACACTATGATGGAGCAAATATTAAGCATTAACTTCACATATATTTTCCACAACTATTTTAGTATGTGTGTGTAGGAAAAAAAATCTTGACAGAATCTTTGTGAAACGCTTATGGAGTGGGGTTTAGCAAATAAAGGAATATTTATGCATATGTCGCTTTTTTGATAAGGGTCCCCCTTATATCAAATGTAAATATGTTGAAAAAAATACCAATCAAGGCCCCTCGCCTTTGGACAAAATCTTTAACCTCAACATTATAATATAATATTAAACTGCTGATGTTTTATCATTCATTTCATATGATCTTACCTTTCTCCAGCTTCCTTCACTTCCTCCTGAGTCCCTGAATAAACAAGAGACCATATTTTTCTTTAGTCAACTATACTAACGTTACTATAGCATGCTGTTCACAGACAGTTGCCTCGTCTAGGAGGAAAAGCACAACGGAAACTGATGACACTAACGATGGCTGTGTTCCATTTGGTTCCATTCCGTCTCCCAGTGAGTAACTCCAGAGAGCTCGCATGCACAACACCGGGACATCCCCTAATTGGAACGCAGCCATCATTATTTGTATTGAATCCACCTGTGCATTTCCTACCGTGACGATTTAAATGAGCTACCTTCTGATTGGTTAGTGCTATGCTCATGTGTTGTGGATGTTACCGTTTGAAACAGGTTGAGGACGATTCAATGTTCTCACCACTGGGGGGCAGTCTTTGCTTACACTCCCATATTTAAAAATGAGCGTAAAATTAACAAATAGGTGACATTATAAAAGACACATATACACAATATGTCAGTTGTTTTCCCGTTTTGTCAAAAAATCCGTTTGAATACTTTTATTGTTTCATATTATTTAAAGCAGGGATATTGAACTGAATAGTTAAATCTGCATCATCGAGTTCATTTCTACTTCTGTGTGTAATACCTTCTAAATAACCCGTGGTGTGTGTCTTAACAAAATGATATCATTCACGGTTTCAATTTAGCCTTATATGAAATTGTGTGTATGCTTATACAATATATTTGATTAGTTTCAAACACCACCATAACAAAAAAGGACATACAACCTATTACTTAAGAACATTTTTTATTCAACAGTGGATCTTCAGTAATAAATAAATGTACAGATAATTCATTCCACAATAAAATTGAGGGAAAGTTGTATTTTTTTTTTTTTAAATATAAATGTCCAAGTGGAGGATTGATATTGCCGTGATGGGTAAACATCATTGACCAGACAGAGAGACGGAGTGACGCAGAGAGGCAGACAGGCTGACAGACAGACAAATAGACGATTACCACACAGATGTGTACAAAGTATTGCGTTTCTCACTGATTGGCTCTCTCATCTCTCTCTGTCTCCCTCCCTACATGGAGCAAATGCAAAGTCTATTCAGTTTACCATCACCATGATGTTCAAATCAATCATAAATTATAAATACAGTATTGCATCACTTCAAAGTGCTACAGAGATAGGTGCCGACAATCTTCAAAAACAGAAACAGATTTTGTGTGTGTGTGTGTGTGTGTGTGTGTGTGTGTGTGTGTGTGTGTGTGTGTGTGTGTGTGTGTGTGTGTGTGTGTGTGTGTGTGTGTGTGTGTGAGCGACCATGATGGTTCTGTGCCTTTGGATTTCTAGCACAGAGTGTAAAGCTCAGCCTGGTCAAAAGCAGAAGCGATACAAACATCGTCTAAAAGTGTGACATTATGAAAATGGCGTGATGTTTGGCTTTGACGCCCAGAAAGTGGAGATGTGTGGACAATCTTCAAAAACAGAGAATCTAAATAACTAAATAATAACATTTATTGGATTATAAAACGTTTCGTAAAAACCCAAAGCTCTCTTCTCTTTATTACTTCATCACGCTTCATTTTTTCAGTATGGATTTAAAAGGGGGAATCAATCAGTCTCTAGTGGATAGGGTCCCTGATGTTTGCTCAGCATTGTCTTTGAAAATATGGCCGATAGGAACAAATGTTGCCTCTAAATTGTCGCACATTTTCTCATATAAAAGATGTAGAAGCACACATGACAAATGTATTTTTTTCTCTAGACATCATGTTCAAATTCTCATTATTTTCGGTTTATGTCTATTAATGGTTAAGGAAGTTTGTTTTGTATCCTTGGAAAACACTGCTTTAATTCTTTTTTATGGCGGGTCAGGCTGAAAAATGGCCTTTCCAAATGTTGAATTATAATATCAAATATTGAATTGCTCAAATACATTATGTTTGTATCCATCTGTGAGAGATGAAGAGAGAAGCTTCAGACCTTTTGGAATTAGAGTCTGTACTGCTGAAATGCTGACGTTTGTTATGTTTGACCAACATTCAGCAATCGGCTTTCTAGCAGCACGCCAACATCTTTAGGATACCTTTGTGAACAAGGCACAAACATCTGTAAAGGACCATTCGGGGGTGATGCACATTTCAGCCATCAACATTTTCCAAAGCATCCTACTGGAGCTAGTGTTCGCAGAAAATAACCTTAAAACACATGTATTTCTTTGGAAATGGTTCATAGCGAAGAAAAATAATATTGATGTTAAATCATACATAACCAGCTGAATGGTCCTTTACGTGGTCGTCTTGCAGATTCACTGTGCTTCAAATTCTGCCCTCTGATCGAAAAAAGCTTTTTAGCAGTTGTCCTTTCGTCGAAAAAACAACGTTTTAGTAATGTAGCAGTAGCTGTTCCCTTCAGTGGGGTTTCCCAGTCCATTTACCAGGGCCCTGGCCTTCATTTGGCATCTTATTTGATTTATTTAGCCTCTTCAGTGAGGAGATGAGGAGCAGAGGAGAGGGGGCGGACAGGGTGAAGATGAGACACAGAGATGAGAGGAGGGAAGGAATATAAAAGGATGAAAAGGGGAGATGAGAGGGGAGAGGACGGTGTAGGGGGGGGGGCAGAGAGAGGAAGAGGACGTATGAAAGACAGGAAGCCCCGGTCGGAGCACCTGTCACGGAAGAGGCTCCTGCTTTCTATCACCGTCTCCTCGCCTCTCTTTTCCATCCATCTGCCAACAGGAGGGACACCCAAAGGGGAAAGAGCGGGTGCTTAAAATTCTCCTTCCTTCCTGTGTCCATCTCCTCTCCTAAAGACCTGTCCTCTCCATAGCAACCGACCCTGTCTTCATACTGAGCTTATTCAGTTGGTAGTCATGAATGTGTGTGTGTGCGAGGCAGAGCGAGAGAGTGTTTTGCTGCTGCTCATGCCTCTGTGTCAGTGCATGTTGTTGAGTTTCAAAGAAGAGTGTGTGTCTTCTGTTGACGTCAGTCTGACACTTTACATTTGAAAGACAGTTCATTTTTGGTCTATTTGAAGAAACCTTGTGTTAAAATGGAAGGAGCGTTGGCTGGTTTCTGTAAAAACATTTGTTCAGTCTTCGAGTTTTGAATCAGGCACCGTGACGCTTCTCACCTCCCTGTCCTGGAAGCATGTACATACCGGTCAGTAAGACTGACAGATCTTCCAGCCAATGGCAGCCCAGTCTGTGAGTCAGTTAATTGGGTAAAGGCTGCGATTGGCTAACCATCAGCATCCGGGGGACGTTGTGAGTGGGCCGTGGTGCAGGTAGGCGGGGTTCACCACGGAAACAGGGAAGTTAAAAATGAACGGAGAGGTGGGCGTGGCCGACGTCACCGTGGTGACCGTGGAGGACTTGGGTCCGAGCAGCGGGCTGGCCGTGGCGCCGCCGTGGCGGCCGCCTCGGCAGCGCACGAGGTGGCGAGGAGCTGCGACTCGAACTGCAGCAGCTGGCCCATGAAGCTGAAGTTGGGGGAGATGATGCTGCGCCGCCGCCGCACAAACTCAAAGGCTTCGTCCAGACGCACCCTCTTCCTCTTCATCAGGTAGGCTAAGCAGATGGTGGCGGAGCGGGAGATGCCCGCCTGACAATGGACCAGGACCCGCCCACTGGAGTCCCTTACCGAATCTGTGGAGAGAGGGAGGGTCATAGGTCAGAAAGTTTTACTAGCTAATTATTGTTTGTTTGACTGTACAGCACTTTGGAGATTTGAAAGTGTTTTATAAATAAAGCTTTATTGTATTGTATCACTCAGTTTGACAAGAAATATCACTATTTAATAGATTGCCATAGATTTAGTACAGATGTTCATGCTCACCAGAGGACGTCCTTATTATTTCATCTAGATTTACCAGTCAGATATGTCAACCTCTACTAAATGGATTCGTCAAGATTTAGAATATTCTCACACTTTATCCTAATTTTCAATGTTGGCCTCAGATGTTGTACGTTCATGGTTCCCAGATGAGGTACCCTGATGACTTTAATTGTAAAAAAAAATGACATTCAAGCTCAATTTCAGTCATGGATATTGACACTTTTCCAGGGTATGTGTTAAATGTAATTAAAGGGCTCCAACATGTTTATAGCAGTTCATGTGAGGATGCATTTGAAGCCGGTCGTACTTATCATAGCCTTATGGCACCAATACACCTTCAAATGTAAATCTCAGTTTAAAAGAGAATATCATAGTTCATTGACAAATCTTTCCTCGTGTCTAGCTCCTAATCTTTAGTTATTTGTCGGAAAATATTGTTGTGCTTTGTGAACGGACGAAGAAAGGAATTTTATATCAACGATTTTCCACAATCAAACTAATTGTTACCCGTAATGCCATTTTTTTTAACAGACGTACAGCTTTGCCTCAAGCAGTTCTCATTTCTTCTCCTCTACACTTTTCATTCAAACCAACCTCCAAGTGAGAAAGCAGCAAATGACATTTATCTGAAACACGCAAGTGCAAATAAATGTGAGTCATCAGCCTCTTTCACACTTCCTCCCCTGTCCTATTTCTGTCTCTGCCTCTTTCAGTATGTTTAGACGCATGGGATTACTTTGATACTGCGAGCAACAACATTGAGGAAGTAGTTTGATTAGATCCTTTACAGTAACTGCATTTCCCCAAGAGAAACAACAATCAGCTGGACAGTCATGTAATGGAGCATGTTAGCATGGACTGCTAGACATTTAAAAAAAGATAATAGGCTGATATTTTGTTTTATATATTCTTTTGCATGCAGATTAATTCCATCTAAGTTTCCACTACTGACATCAAATAAAATGCACCAGTTTAACCATAGGTGATTTTTAGCGGATTGATAACAACCAACTCACACCATTTTGTTTTGTGTCTTGCTTTACTTTTTAGCCGTCTATATATTTCAGACAGTTTTCAGGTAACTCAACACGGCGTCTGTTCACCCGGTAACAGAGGATGAGTCAGACTCTAGTCCCACAGCAGCTAACTATGACGCATACCAGCATCTACACACACACACACACACACACACACACACACACACACACACACACACACACACACACACACACACACACACACACACACACACACACACACACTCACCAGAGTACACGCTAACAGACATACACTCAGCCCTGAAACCACGTAGATGCACAGCATGGATATCAAACGCAAATCACACACTAACCGTAATAACACGCAAACACAGAGAAATCGTGTTCCAGAGAAATTGGAATATTTTCTCATAGTCTTTCTCATTCTCAAATTCCTTTCTTCCATCTTTTCTGTGCTTGTACGACATCGTTTTTGTTTTGCTACTTAACTATTCTTAGATTTTGGTGCGTATTTCCTCTCTCTGCGAAACCTGCTTTAATGTGACGGATAAATGGCTACTCGTAAAAAAAATGTTGTCTAAAGAAATTCTCAGACTCTCAGAAAAGGCAAAGAAAATAATATCTCAGCTGTTATTTTCCATATTGTATGATTAATATTATTGTATTTTAATGATCTATAATTTCAAGATAATGCAAAACTTGATATGTTAGAATAAGCTGCTTCTCCTTGTCTTACATTAAAGTCATTGGATGTGTTTGGGACTAGGACATCGTGAGGTGCATTTTCCAAAATGTTCTGCAGTTTAATAGTCAAACAAATAATGGAGAAAATAATCAGCTGTTAATCCAATAATGACAATAACTCAGTCAGTTGGCGACCTACATATGTCTTCTCATTGATAATAGAAATGTTATTGGAATGTTTGAGCAGACATAACAACAATATGAACTTGACTAAATACGAAAAAAATGAACCACATAAAGCTCCTCTGCAAAGAAAGACACACACACACACACACACACACACACACACACACACACACACACACACACACACACACACACACACACACACACACACACTGACCTATGAACTCAATAGCCTCCAGGAACCAGCAGCTGATGTCCTCTTTATGGTTGTCTTCCACAGGGATACACTTGTACTGGTACGCCCCCTCGAAGTGGTTGGGACAGTCGGCGGACACGTTCAGCAGGGCGGAGATTCCTGTGGCGTCCAAAACCTCTTTCTTTGAGGCGTGGAGGGCGCTGCCGAGGTAGAGGAACGGGAGGATCTCCACCGGGCCGCCCTGGACGGATGGAAGAGGGATGATTAATCAGTTGAAGAGACAGATTCTCAGTACAGTCATTTTTATTAAGAAACATCCTCTGACCTAACCCGAAGAGCCATGGTAGTCAGAAGAGACTTAGAGAGCTAACACGATGAGACAAAGCTTCCACTGTCTCAGTTCAGATGACTTCAGTATAAAGTGTGATCTCTCCTAAATATATTTCTGATCATTTTTCCAAGCCTTAAATCAGACAGGGGTAGCTTTGTATCTGTTTGATCAATCAGTCATTTGATAAGGGCTGCTCCGTTTCAAGCTGAGTCATTTTCTCAATAAGGAAACATATCTGTGATTATGAGTCAAGTGTACAGAAATATTATTGTGTTTTAAATTTATCAGTAAAACAGATGTTTCATGGGGGTTTACATCCTGTCATGTTGCAATAAGGACACCTTGTACTTGTTCTGTCATTACACTCTACTGGTGGAAGATTGGTTTTACTCAATGATTTATGACACAGCATCAACTGAGCACACGGTGGCATTTCCTAGAAACAGGAAGTATCTCACGGAGCAGAAAAATATGACCTATCATAATCAGAACCATAAAGCATCCAAGGTAAAAAAAAACATTATGACCTGGTGTTCTTTCAAAGCAAGTTCCAATGTAAGACTAGTGGTCTTGTTTTCCCTTTTGAATGGATGTGAGGGGTCAGCCAGCTGTCAGTCTATACCGGTAGTGAGACTTATTGACAGAAAGCTCGGTCTGTTTATGTCACTGCCGCTGACGACCTCGTGCTGACACAGCATCAGGATGTGATCAATACTGCTAAGAGATGTAATGTGAGGAGAGAGAGGGCGGGGTGGACGCTGGGAGGAAAATGGAGAGTGAGATACCGAAAAACAGGAAGCTACTTTTAATGCTGAATAGTGCGGGCGAGACTATCGAGCATTCTTCTCAGAAAAAACGCACAGAGGCTGGATTGTCTGCGTCTCTCTCCTCATGCGTTTCGGGGGGGAATTAAACCCCCGAGCCTCATGTGACTGTGAACGTTGCATCAAATATGCAGGCTCCAAACAGCAGATCACTAACCAGCTAAACGAGACCGACCGGGTCACAGGAAGTAAGGCAGAGGTGAATCAATACTGACCTATGACCTGTAGCCTATCATTAGACAAATAACTCACTCAAACAAAAGAAAATATTCCCAAGAGGTTACATTGCTTTATCGAGGGCTGCTCGATTATGGCAAAAATCATAATCTCGATTATTTGGGTCAATAATTGATATCACGATTATTAAAAACGATTATCCATTTACTTTGAAAACATCAATTTATTTAAGAGAAAAAAATGTAACAGTATGTTTTTAACAGTTGATTACCCTGAACCTTAAGTATAATTCAACTGAAAAACCAATAAAAAAATAATGAATTAAAAAAAAATAAAAGTTTTATTTCGATTACGTTGTTTTCGTAATCGTTGTAAGCCATAATCATAATTGCGATTAAAATACGATTAATTGAGCAGCCCTACTTTTACCCTAGCATGGCCTTTACACTGACAAACAAGCTTGTAACTACACTGTCACTGCTTTCACAATCCAGACCGGATAAGGAAATGTGCTTGAATGGGCGTGGGAAAGTGAACAAAAGTGATGTTGCGAACCAAAAAACGTTGAGTGTTTGCACCCAGCAGATCATGGTGTCGATGATTCAAACTAAACTTGACTTTCACAGGCTGTAACAATGATTTGACTGAAGTGACATTACACTGACATTGGTCAATGTTAAGTATATTACTTAAACAGTCCCTTAAGGGCTGATCATGTGTTGTTTTTACCTGGTCGTGGTGCGGCGTCCCACAAGACGAGCAGGAAGAGTCGACGCTGGACTGGCTGGTGAGGGGCGGTAAGGATTTGGTCTTTATACAAAACTCTGGGTACTCTGAGAAAAACCTGTCGTATCCACCTAGAAAAGAGACATCCAGATTAAGTACCATTCATCCTACACATCACATTAGACACAATCCGAGTGAGATATAATCACTACTTGGAAATGTAAGATCCTCCTGGAACAGTGATTTGTGTTTGTGTGGGTGGGAGGGAGGGGAGTTTATGTGCTTAGAACTCTACAGCAGCATGCATAAGGACTACAAAAGCATGGCAGCCTACATTACAATTGCTGCACAATCATACATACATAAGGTCTATTCCACCAGGCCCTGAACTACTCTCTCTTGTGGTTACTACCGTGGATTTGAAAACAATGTCGTCATCCCTTTTTTCTTTTTGTTGCATCTGTAGGCTGCTCTGTGCACCTCAGGGATCACATCAGATGAACTGGGAAATGTCATCTTTATAAGCTACACACAGTCTCTCCTGTGCTTCAAGGCGACTACGTCATTATGATACACACATACAAAAAGAGTGCGCCACAGCTTGCAGCAGCTGCCTTTTCAGAATCCCTGCAGCCTAAATATAGGCTGGAGGGTAAATAAAGCGTTGATTTTTTTTGAATTTTACAGCTTTTTATCTTCTATTTCTACCCGAAGGGCACTGTTTCTGAAAGGATCATGTACCCTGTAAGTCCCTCCGGTTTGATGTGGCCTCTACGCATTGGCATTACCTCATTCACTCAGCTCAGGGCATTGGTCTGTGTGTGAATGTGTTCAGCTGTGAGTGACTGAGTGAGTGTGTGTATTGTAGAAAAATAATAACACCAGTGCATACAAATAGAGTAGGCCCATTTAGGAGGACATGTCAATCTTTTGTTAATAAAGCAGCTACAAAAACACATACTCAGCCTTTATGAAGGTAATAAAGAACAATATTGAATGCCTGTGAAAAACTAAATAAACAATGACCCAGATAGGATGGTGGCATATTGAAATTCAACTTTTGATCAAATCTATAGCTATAATTACTATTGTAAAGCCTCAAAAAGAACATTATCATTAACGTGTCATTTTTATCCATTTAAAAATGTTTCTGTTTACTAACACAGAGAATTATTTTCAAAAATAAGCTCCATTTGAATATGGATATATTATTACAAAACAACATTTTTAAAGATAACAAAACAATATATATAGTCATTGTTTAGTTTGTTATTGCCTAATTTAAAGGCTGAATAAAGCATGTTTAAATCATTAATACAACAAATCTACTATTATACATTTTGCATATCTTTATTGTCCTACATTAGGGTTAAATCAAATAATAAATGAAGGCAGAATCCTTACTGGTGCGAGTGTAGCTTATAATAATAACATGATGCACCTGACCCCACGTTCAATAACAAAGCACTGTATTTACCTTTCAGCAGGTATATGAGTGTTCCGGAGGAGTCGCTGCACACCGCGTTGAGCACCAGAGTCAGCGTGCTGTCCTCTTTCACCGTCTCCGAGTCCGGCGTCCTCTCGTCGTACAGCACCACGGCGGAGTACATCCCGGAGCGGAGGCGTTCACGGACCTCCTCGTCCCCGGCCAGTATCTGGTCCAGGCTGAGCACGGAGCCCTTGGCCCTGCGGCGAACGATAGTGTTACAGCGGGCGTTGACGGCTCCGCGGATGTGTCCCGCGTTGAAGGCGAGGAAAGAGCGGCAGTCCAGCAGCAGGCACTTGGCACTGTCGTCCTTTAATAACCGCTTCACCACCGGACAGTCCATCTCGCGTAGGTCCCCCATAGCACGTCGTATTTTGAGCTGCGTAGGTAAGCTTCACTGTCGGTTATCTCCTCGGTTTGGTTCTCGCACAGTGTGCCCGCACCACCCTCCCAAATTCAGTTCCTGCGTTTGGTTTAATCTATTCACGCATTGTAAACGCACTACTCCTCGCTCTCAGTCCGCAGCTATCAGTCCGCAGCTCTCTCTCTCTCTCTCTCTCTCTCTCTCTCTCTCTCTCTCTCTCTCTCTCTCTCTCTCTCTCTCTCTCTCTCTCTCTCTCTCTCTCTCTCTCTCTCTCTGGGTGTGCATTGTTTCTCTTTTTCCCTGTGAATGGGTGCATCGCGTTGGAGCGGAAGTGACGTCAACCCCTAGCAGCCAATCAAAAAGGGTCCAGTTTCCCGTCCCCTTTTCTCCACCGCCGTTCATTCATAAAATAAAAAAACAGACGGACATCAATGAAATGAGAGGCGATGGGGAAGGAGATTAGACTCCATGGGGAGGTTGGCAACAATTGCCATGTTTTAACCAGCTCATGGCCACATTGGAATACTAGTTTCTGATGATTGAATAAAAGGCTACAACGTACAAAACAAGGGATTTTACATTCAAAGTCTTCAATAACAAAAAAACGAATTTACTATTTTGGCCTAAATTCAAGTCTTTAAACGTGCATAATTACAATTTCCACATAATGAATCAAATTAATATGAAAAGTATGTGTGCTTGTATAATATATTAATAAACTTTGTTTATCTAGCTTTTCTAAAACAGCCCAGAAAAAAATAAAATAAATATTTGTCCACTATATTAGCTGTGAAAAGACGCTAATTTTTGCAGCAACTTTATAAGAAGGCATTAGCTGTCTAGCACAACTTCTGTCACCTTGCCCCTATTGGCCATAGATAAATGAGTGCAGCTTTAAGATATCCCTTTTTCATTTTTATACTTTTAACTTATCATTGAAAAATAAAATTGTAATCAAAATTCAATTGTACATTACACTTATTATTTGAATATTATTTCCATTTAAGATTCAGTGCAACTACTGCACTATTATATTGATATTGTCTGGTCGTGGTAAGCTGAAAAATGATCTGGACCACATTAGGGTGTGCATACGTGCTCAAAAAACGTTTGTGTGTGTGTGTCTGTCTGAGTGTGCATCTGTGTGTTTGAGGGTGTGTGATCCTACAAACGGAAACACAATTTGCATCTCCTATCACACAGCCTTGGTGAGCGTGCTCAGGTATTTGCATGTTGATCCCATTTCCATGGTTACGAGAGAAAAAAGAGCAGCACGGCAGCAAATGAGAGGAAAAACGCAGACACACTGACACAAACAGACTGGCTCAAAAAATGCAGACACTCAAGCCGAAAGAGAAATAATCTGATCATTAAAATATTGTAGCATTTCCTAAATAGATGGATTTATTATGAATGGGTGTATGTGGGAATACTCTATTCTTCATTATTATTGGATATGCCGACAAGATGTAACTGATATAATACAAGTATGTTCTGACAGTAAATGTGAAGTGACACCTGATAGCTGATGATCGGTATCAGAAACTGCTGAAATTCTTAAATGTCATTTTTCCTGTCTGACAAAAAAAGAGACTGTCTAGACTCCACAGAAAGCAAAACCCCAAAAGAGGAAATGTTGCTTGGATATAAGAACATAACAGAAAAACAGTATTTAGGCATTTAACAGAGAATTAAACTGTATGAAATGTAACTACATTAACTTTGAATGACTTGCAATGGAGTATGTTGATCCAAAACAGGAATTGAAAGTGAAAAGAGTCACTCAATGCATAAAATGATGTATACCATGTCCTTAATGTATGTAGTTTGCTACGTGGCAACATTATGCGAGTACTTTAAGATAAAGAGGTGGGATGGAAGGTGGAGAAAGAGACAACAACAGTCAAATCAGGGATGAAGAGGAGAGAGATGATGAGAGAGATGGACGAGGGACGGAGATGGGGGGGGTGATAGAGTACGAAAAAGCTTGAGCTTGATTGCAGTCTTTAGTGTCCCATATAAACACACACAGACACCACGCCACATTACAACCAACCCTAAATAATGCCTCTCACTGGCAGGATGGTGCTGCTACCGTAGCAACAAGGGAGAGGTGTGGGAGGGCGGAGACATCAGGCAGGGGGCTACAGGGCGATTGGCTGGAAAAAGACTCTGTACGGATTTCATCCCTCCTTCCCTCCGCTTCATCTTGTCAATCCATTCCCTCCTTAACATCCCTCGCCTGCATGCCGTCATCCATCAATATAGTGGAGAGAGAGGGTACAGTATTCTGTTAATGAGCTTTGCACACGTCAGTGTTGATAAGTATCTCTCATATTCCTTGTTTACTCGATGTTCTGCCCTCTAATCCCGCGTCTTTTTCTCTCCTGTTTCTATATTGTTTTTTATTTTTGTTTCTCTTTTACAGGCCCAGTGTGTATTACGTGATTTTTCTTGTAAATGTGGTAGCATTTCCCATTTGTAGTCCCTAGACAGGTGTTACAGTGTTCTCAAAAACAGCTAAGCAAACATATAAATAGGGACGATTATTGTTAGAAAAGATTATAAGGGCTTTAGGGTAGAACATAATCATGCTACGTGTTAAGTACTTAACAAAAACATGCAACACAGAAGAATGTGTAATTTGTGCAGGAAAGCAACAGAAAATAAAGGCCAAGATATCGTGACACACAAGAATTATATCATTCTCATTCGCAAGAGAGCCAGTAACTTTAAACTGTCAAACCATTTATTTTAATGGGCTTTACATTTGTAGTTTGTAATATAGCTGTGGTTCAAATGTATGATATATTTAAACAGTATATACAATATAAATGGTGATTGATGCATAGTACTGGGAACTGCTATTGCTATAGTAGGGAAAACCTGAGAACAAATTAAGTTGTCAAGACAGGAGAATTAAACCACACCAACACACCATAGAAAACAACACACACTTTACCAAGTGTTTGTGTGTGTGTGAGGGTGTGTGTGGGTGTGTAATGCATGTGTGTATGTTCCAGATCAACCCCACTCTCTAATCCCATAATCCAGTGGTTAAGCCTTGACTGAGTGCCGCAACATTTTCATGAATGAGGTTGTGTCGTTTGTCATGTGTCTGTGCCAGTGTGTCGATACAAGCAGAGAGAGAAAGAGAGAGAGAGGTATGAAGGATAAACAAATGTGTGTGTGTGTGTGTGTGTGTGTGTGAATATATGAGGGATGAGAGAGGCTTTAAGGACACAGACAGCAGAAAGAGAAAAAGGGAACAGAGAGAAAGAGGGTGAAGGATAGAGGCAGGGAGAGCTGAGCAGCGGAAGTGAGTAAGTGGCATGGTGGGGGTTGTTACTCAGTTTGGAGCTGATCCATAGTTTCTTTCTGAGACAAATTCTCGTGGCTGACAGACAACACCTCCACTGGAACGACCAAAGAACAAATGATATTTTTCCACTCTTCATTTGAAATAAAAACAGCAACAAACAGCATTGTTTTAATCAAATATATGCAACAGGGTACGATAAGGGAATTACTTTTCAACTCCAGGGGAAAGAAAACCTGGACTGCTGTTTTGGATGAAAACACATGATGCCAATGCTTTTGGGAAATGTCTTTGGGTTGATGTTTTTCCAGAGCTGTTTTGGGAGACACTTCTGGTTAATGAGTAATACAGATAACCAGCATGCTTATCCCCATTTCAATGGCCCAGCTTGCAGAACACACACACACAGATACAAGGTCATTGCACTGAATCCCTTCCTGTCTGGACCTCACATGCTAACCTAGTGAACTCAAGGGTGCAGGCTTTCTGTCGGCACACACACACGTACCTTATTACGTTTTGCTCCCACTGGTTTTTGTGAATGGTAACTGTGAGTTCCTTATTTGGTTGTTTGCGTTGCCTACTTCCTCCTCAACCTTAAGTGCACTCACTGCCCTATTTGACTATCCATGGTTCACCAACGCATCAGAAACAACATCCTAGACAACCTGGATACGCCCCAGTTTGCAAACAGAGACAACAGAGAATGCTGTCTCAGCTGCCCATCATCTGAAAAATAACAACACCTATGTCAGAATGCTGTTTGTTGATTTCAAGTCAGCAACAAAAGCCCACACATTAAACTGATTGTGCAAACTTAACACTCTGAGTTTTGAGTACTACACTCTGCAGCTGATATTGGACTTCTTCACAAACAGACTTGAGGCAGTTTGGATGGTCAGTCACGCCTCTTCCACTTTAGTGACAAACTCCGGAGTCCCCCAGGGCTGTATGCTCAGACCTCTCCTGTTTCCTTAAGACTGTAACCCCCAACATGAAGAGAACATCTCAATCCTGGTAAAAACAGGCTATATTTCTTAAGGAAACATAACAAGGCATAGTTCCTCCAACTTCTTGTTGACTTTTACAGAGAAGCAATAGCGGGCATTCTTGAAACATAACAAACTGGCATGGGACGGGTACGGCCAAGGACAGAAGGGCTCTACAGCAGGAAATGAAGACTTTGCAGAATACCATTGGCCCCATTCACTTAGCATCACATTGGTGAGAAGAGGTGCCTGCAAAACCCAAAGCAAATCCACCGCCTGTTTACCCTTTAGAGAGATTAAAAAAAAGTATCCGCTATGCACTACCAAACTACAGAGCAGCTTTTCCATCTCAGAATGTAAGATTGTTTTACTTATCCTCCACAAATGTTTTGTTTTTTTATCTTATGTAGCAATTTAGTTTGCGAGAAAAGTATATTCTTATTTGATGTATTTAATTTCTCTATCTCTCGTAGTTTCTGTAATAACGTGAATGAATGTTTTTCCCATATTGTAACATTTTCTTATACCATGAATGGCGAAGGACCTCTACGGTGTTTTAGATAGTGGTACATGCTAATGCTTAGTTCCTAGCAGTGTGAGCAATACTGATCAACACTTCTTATGTCCATGGAAACCAATGTGAAGAACAGTAAAGTACAGTATAACACAAAGTGTACATTACATAAAGGACCCCATTGATAGTACTGCTTTACCAGTAGCATGACATGTTCAACCCTAATATTATCAACACACTTCACACACTCACAAAAACACAGTTATTCCTCATTCAAATGTTGGTGTGTGTTTTGAATAGTCAAAGCAGCACAGGATGAAACGATGAGATCATATTCAAACAGATATTTTCTCAAACCTCTGTAACACAGGGGCATGTGTGC